CAGACAAGGCCTTTAGAAATTTGTCACTGAATTTTATTTACACTTTTTTTTCCCCTTGTCTTTTCAGACAGAGTGGCGTCATAGCTGGACATCACAACAAATATTACCATGGCAATAGAAGATCAGAAATTTGGGTTTTGTAGTCTTTCACTTCAGTCAACTTATAGTTAAGCTCTGCCCCCATCCACTCACCCTTTAAAAATGTTCCTCACTACCATCAAGAGTTCCCCAAATTAGGCATTCTCCATCATCTCAGACCACCACTTATTTCTTTGCTATGATTCTTAATCCAGCATAAAGTCCATGCAGACGATTGTTGAATTATTCCTCACAAAGCATCATTTTAATATAGAAAAATATCTATGTTTTCCCTCATAGTTTCAATCCCTTAATATAGTTTAAATCCCTTGGTCTGTCCCTCTCATTCTGCTGCATATTCATTCTGGGTGCCTAATGTGCCAGTCCATTCATACACAGACTGTCTATACCAGCCATCCGGATGGCTTTCTGGGACCTAAACGTTCCCGTTGGCTGCACTGACCATCTCGCTAACCTGTGCCTTCTGATTTGGGCATTGGCTGTTAGAGGAGTGAGGACAGACCAGCTCTAGTTGGAAATGATCTTCCTCTCCTCTGCCTCATAGAGCCCTCATTTTAGGAATCTCACGATGTCTCTAATCTAACCCCAAGCCAACATATGGCTCCTTCCATGATTTCTAACAAGTACCTCCTGATCAGTGTGGCATCACCATATGCTTCTTAGTTACTTCTGTATGAATCTTAAGGGCTTTTTTTGTGCTCCCCGATTACATAACCCTGGAGAGAAGATACCATGTTTCACAACTCCTTGTCCTCCCAGACCTACCGGTGACTTGGGCATGAGCAGTGCTCATTGAACAGTTCAGAAACGAACATAAAGAACAAGCTTCCCCCCAGGGAAGCATCTGTCACAGGAGCTGACCTTTCAAATTTGTTAATTGACTTTAGTTGTTGGGGTCCACAGAGGTCACCTGGGGAAATCACAAAACTCAGTGCGAGCCCTGGGTTGTTTCCTCCTCTCCTGGTCTTTTTACTTCTGCCTTTCTCTGTGGAGCTGTGAGGACTGGACATGGGGCTAGAGGGAAGCTTTCCACTCTCTGGTGAGGAATTTCTTTCCTGATCTCTGAAGGTGGAGGAACATATGCATGTTTTCATTTAACCAGCTCTCCCTCGTGAACCTCTGGTAACCAAGAACCCACTTAATTTAATCCTCAGTAAGATATGTATCTTCTATTTTATGTTGCTTTCATAATACCCATCACAATTGGGCTTTTCTAATAGTCCCGTTTTCAAATTTTCACATAGGCTGATGTGGTGATCTTTTTTGAGAAGTCTACAAAATTTAGATATGCACTTAAGGCACTAAGGACAGATTAACTCGGGCATTATGAAATACGTCTCATCCTGTTTTGGAAAGAGGTTTAATGACATTTCATCATCACTAAGAATCTACAAGGTGGCATAATTTTGTTAGTTTAAGAGGTTGTCTGTTCATTTGACTTGGTTTGTGCTGTTGGAAGTGAAACAAAATTTTGTTGCCCATAAACACTCAATTATTTCCCTTTCTCATACTGTCCATTAAAGTTCCAAAGAATTTAGTGTTAAAAAGTATAAGCTTGAACATTTCTAATAACTATGAATACTTAAAATTCATGCTTCCTTTTCTCTCTTTTAAGTTATCCATGACCTACCAAAGGCTTATATTTAGTACTTCCAAGAAAATCAAATTTTTGACTTGGTGTCACTACATATCTTTCTCATTGCGTCTAGCAATGAAAGTGTCAGTTGGTTTTCAAATTGGTTAGATTGGTTCATAATTTCTATTTATCATTAGCTATTTGATAAGGAGAGCTGCAACTTGTGACATTTGCTACGGCAACGATTTTTCCTGAAGATGGAATTTTAAAAAGATAACTTTTTTTTTTTTTTAACATTTATTGTTGAGAGACAGAGACAGAGCATGAGCAGGGGAGGGGCAGAAAGAGAGGGAGACACAGAATCCTAAGCAGGCTCCAGACTCTGAGCTGTCAGCACAGAGCCCAACGCGGGGCTTGAACCCACGAACTGTGAGATCATGACCTGAGCCCAAGTCAGACGCTCAACCGACTGAGCCACCCAGGCGCCCCTAAAAAGACAACTTCTATTAGAAACCATAAATTAAATCAAAGTTTGAAATGCTTAACTCTAACAAAATCCCTCACTCATTACGGAGACACTGGAGTTTTTAAAAAATCTGATGAAGTCATGTAAGTTTGTTGCTGGAGGGAAAAATAAAGCAGAGAAGGAAGGACAGAGTGCATTGGGAGCAATTTTAATTAGTTGGTTCTTCATTTAAATAAGAAAAACACTGAATGTCAGAATAGAAAAATGACATGTCCAATGTCACAAAAAAAATTAGTGTCAGAATGAACCATGTAACAAAGATGCCATTCTTCCTGATACAGGGAAACAGAGCAAATGATAATAAGTTCACCTAATGTCAAGACTGACAATTCAGCTCTCTGGCATAACTTGTATTAATGACTCAAAGTCACATTTACTTCTGAATTTGGTCAGAGCTGGACATAGATGCCTCTGCTTTCTCAGTTGTAACATCTCATTTTTTGCACTTTGCCAACAGCAGATCGGATTAGAAAGGGAGGGAGAACCAGGCTTTAATCCAACCCAGAAGGGATGGAAATCAAGCTAGGTCCCTAACCTATGAGCTCATTTAATCAACAAGTGGCAATGCTCAGTACTAGCCAGCATGCTAGGCAAAAGCCAGACGTGTCCCCATTATGACACATAATTTTAGGGAATAAAAGAGGTAGGTTGGCGACTGGTATTTTCAAGGCTCTGCAGACCTTTTCTCTCATTTCCAGATCTAGCACCACAGTAGAGTTGGTTGCAACTATTGGCTGTGTAACTGCAAGGTGTGGTAAAATAATATGTAAAACTTAGTATAAATGCCCCCAGCACATTTCAAAGGACAATTACACTGGAGCCTTGACAGACTATGATCTCTAGGCCCCATGCTGGGTGGTACCTTATCTTTTAATGACGACTAAGCCTGGTAGCTATGATTGGATTTTCAGTTAAACTTAGAGGGCCGACTTGATTTATAACAAACTTCACATTCTGTCACATAATGCTACAGTAAAATCTAATGGTTTGATGTTTAATCCTCAATAGATAGTTTCTGGCAAAGCCTAGATTTTGTGTACCTATTTGCCTTTGCTCTTCTATTTTCACAAATATACATGTTCAGTTTTATTGACATAATTCAACTCAGATGTTTTCTGGAAAAAAATTAACATGTTAGAAATAACATTATCATCTCAAAAAGAAATGGGAAGTGCTGGACAGGAGAGAGTTAGTGTCTTATCAGTAAGCACCTTATCTCTCTCATGTGACACACCCATCATAGGACCAGGCCATGTACTGTGCTTTATGGTATCTCGTTTGATCATTTTATTTTTTTCCTTAACAATCTCATCTCTTCCAGGATATAAACTCTTTAAAGTCAAAGATTTTCCCCCAAACTCCTTAAGAGTTATAAGCCTTCAACATGCATTAATTATAACCATCATTGACTAGGGTTTTTTTTAATATATTCAATAATTCTTTTGCAACCCTTTCATAATCTCTTATTTAATCACTGTCATTCATTCATTAAATAAGCATTCTTGAGTGTCTGCTACCTATGATCCAGGAATCACTTTAGGTACTAAGGAGTCAACAGCATATCAAATAGAAAAAGAAAAAGCTCTACCGTCATAGAACTTACATCTATCCGGGAAACATAAAAATAAACATAATTTTTAAAAAGTAAAATATGTAATATTTTAAATGAACAAAAATTTTAAGAAAAATAAAGCAGGAAAGGAAAATATGGAGGGCTTTGTTTGTTTGTTTGTTTGTTTGCTTGTTTTGGTTTTTGGTTTTAGCAGGAAAATGGGTGTTGTGATTTTAAAACAGTTGGCCAAAGAAGCTGACATGAGAAAATGACATTTAGGTACACACTTAAAGGAGATGAGGGAGAAAACCATACAAAAACCTGGGGGAAGTGCTTTCAAGCAGCAGAAATAGCAAGTGCAAAGGCCCCGAGGTAGGAACAGCACAGGGGTATTCCAGGGAGTGGAGAGGAGACTAGAATGTGAACAAGGAGGTGATAAAGTTAGAAATGTAATAAGAGCCTGATCTTATAGGACCTCGTAGGCCTTGTACCTTTAGTAAATGTTGAAATGACCTGACCTACATTGGTATTTAGCAGGAGAGCGATCTTGTTAAAATCACTTGTGTATGTAATATAGTACCTGAAATTTAAGTTAATGAAATGAATGGGTTATCTGCCAGGTAGTTGGAAGCCTGCTTACAAGCAAAGACAGAACTGGGGACTAGGGAATCAGGAACATGGGAATGAGTGTGGAAGAGGAGTTATATTAGTAACGTGAACTACATATTGATATAGTTTTAACTTTTTAAAACCATTTTACATCTGATGGCATCTGATTAAAGGCCTTTACTTGTCCTACTGAGGCAGATACAAAATAGGGAATCGCCATTAAGCATTAAGGTCAAAGTTCTCTTTCTGTCTCTCTATCTCTGTCTCTGTCTGTCATTATTGGGGCCAGACATGACCATAACTGGACAGCCTTTGAGCTATGCCTCTTCCTTAAGGCAGCTGCAACCCTTCTAAGAGTCAGGGTGGCCTATGAAGGAAGTGAGGAGGGGCGGGTAGAGAGGGGGGTTCACGGATGGAAACCAGAAGTGCAGCTGGGCAGCTGAGTCAGGGAAACCAGGGGCTCTGGGAAGGGGACGGATCAAGACAGGCATGGGGTTCCCAGCGAGGATAGAGAAGCAGCGAGCAGGCCAGCCCCACTCCCGCCCTGGCAGAGCCTGCTGCAGGGAAGCAGCCCGGGGAGGAGGGGTCAGGCCAAGAGATTAGGCCAGGGGTGGGATGGGCAGGCAAAGGTCCCTTACTCTTTAGATTTATCCGATCCGTGCGCCGAATTGATACGATGCACTTCTCTCTTTTTGGCTTGTTTGGAGGCCATGGCAGTGGCGGACTCAGGCCCCAGGACCCTGCGCGGACTGAGCTCGGAGCGAGCAGCCGGCCTCGGCCCGGCCGGCTCCGCGTCTGCTGTTGCCAGGAGACGGCGGCCAAGCGTCTGCTGCCGGGCGGGGGCAGATCCCAGGCTCCTCCACAGCTACTCTGCGGCCGCGGGTGGGGCCGCTGACGCGGTGAGTTCAGGTCTCCAAATCCAGGTGGGAACCTAGCAGTTGGGTGTCCGGGGAGGAACTCGGAGGGACTGGATTTGACGCTAGGATTGATGGGCAGCTCTGAAAAATTGCAGCCGTATCAGGTCCGCTCTACCTGGCTGTACTCTTCAGAGCCATACACACTATTCTCTCTTGGATTTTCAGTTGTTTGAAGATGGATTATTATGCGATGTCGCCTCTCTCCAGGTCTTCTCCCCGCTGAACAAGTTCTTTCAATTATAACTAAGGAGACATTATGGACGAACTGAATTTGCTAATGGCTTGAAAAGGGCGGGGCCAGAAATGAATACAGGGCA